GCAAACTCCATTATATGTGGCGCGTCCTGCCGCTGCCCGCTCCTCCCCACTCTGTACTGGGGCTTCCCTGACAAGGCAAGGACGCGGCCCAGACTGTGCCATCTCGCAGTTCACTGTATAAAGGAGATGGGTGACTACCTGCGGATTTTACCAGGAAGTAGGAAAGAGGAGGGTGTAGAGATGGGGGTTTTGAGGGGTGTTTGGGGCCTAAATTTGCAAGCTAGGTGCCCAAACAGTTGATTAGAATGTCCAAAGTGGACAGCTTCTCCTCATTCCCTGGGGTGTGCACGTTACTCAGCGGCCTGGCCTGGTTGGCTCAAATTCCAGGTCAATGGCTTTTATTCAGTTGCGGAGTTTTGGGAAGAAAACACCATAAGCAGTGGAACTCTGTCAAACATGACAGCATCTCTCACATCTGACCCACTTTGACGAAGCAGGAAGCCCAGGGAGCGGCCAGCCCCCGGTCTTTTTGGGTGGCATCTGCCCTCGGGGCCCAGTCCTTCTGGTTCTCAGGCCAGGGCGCTCAGGTCAGCCGGGATCTGCTTTCAGCCACAGAGCAGGGTACGTTCCGGGGAGGCGGCGATGGACGAGAGCAGCGCAGACTTTGGTATCAGATAAACCTGGCTTTAGACTCCGTTCTGTCCCTTTTGGCAGGGTGACCTTGAGGAGCATCTGGGCCCAACGCAGCTTCCGTTTCAACAGCAACAACTTGAGGGTGGTGACGGCCGACTGCTGGGGCTGCTGTGGAATCCAGTCTCTTAACTCACAGTCTCTTTCAGTAAATATCAGTTACCTGCCACCTCTCCCATGGGCAGCACAGCCAACAAACAGGATCTGCTCTCCCCCTGAAAATTGTCGAGGACGATGCACGTGCTTCCTGGGGCCCAGACTTGGAGGCCCCATTGATGCCTTCCAGTCTCTACCTGAGCCTTTAGTAGCAAAGGAGGAGCTGTCAAGATCACGCCCTGAGCTGCGGGGGTGAGAAGCCTAAAGTGAGAGTGTGTGGGTGGCCGGGAAATTCCTTTTCTTAGGTGTTTCAGCATTGGGGGGAGGACGGCCTTGCCACATGAGTCAGCGAGGCCAGGGAAAGACCCACGGCTGGCTGTCACTGGAGTGATCACTGAGTCACGCCTGACTTCTGAATGGGCCCTTGTCTTTCTTCTCCCCCTGGCCCCATGCCCCTGAGGATATATATACATATATATATTTTTTTTTTTGTGAGGAAGATCAGCCTTGAGCTAACACCCATTGCCAATCCTCCTCTTTTTGCTGAGAAAGAGTGGCCCTGGGCTAACATCTGTGTCCACCTTGCTTTACTTTATATGTGGGACGCCGCCACAGCATGGCTTGATAAGCATGCATATCTGATCTGAACCTGCAAACCCCAGGCTGCCGAAGCTGAGTGCACGACCTTAACCACTATGCCACTGGGCGGGCCCACCCCTGAGGATATTTTACTGGCCAGGGACACACTTGCCCTGAGAGGGACCCAGGACATGCCACAGCTGTGACTGGCCTCTCCTAACCCCTCAGGTCGACCCCAGGGCACAGGCGTGGAGGAGCTGGGTGGAGCCTACTCAGGGTTGGGTGATGGACAGGAGGGCAAAGGTGATCTCTCAGGAGGCAGAGCCAGTCAGTATGAAGTGCGGGCAGTGTGGAGCAAAACAGGGCTTGACGCAAGTTCCAGTTCCAACCCCCACTGGTTAGGGGACTCTGTTGGTTTCCCGGGGCTGTCGTCACAAATTGCCACAAACTGGGTGAAAACAACAGAAATTTGTTCTCTCACAGTTCTGGAGAATAGAAGTCTAAAACCAAGGTGTCAGCAGGGCCGTGCTCTCTCTGAAGCTCTGGGGGAGGATCCTTCTCTGCTTCTTCCAGTGTCTGGTGGCTCCTAACGTTCCTTGGCTTGTGGCTGCATGGGTCTCTGCCTCGATCTTCACGTGGCTTCTCTCTGAGCCTCTGTGTGTCCTCTCCTCTTCTTATAAGGACACCAGTCCTTGGATTTAGAGCCCGATCTACTCCAATATGACCTCATTTTAACTACTTACATCTGCAAAGACCCTATTTCCGAATAGGGTCCTTTTCCGAGGTCCTGGGTGGAATTGAATTTTAGGGGACACCATTCAACCCACGACAGTGAACTCGGGCAAGCACTTTACACTTCACAGCCCTCAGTTGCTCCATTTTTGAGATGAGACAGTTAGATCCACTTTTTTCAGAGACGTGAAGAGTAAGTGAGGTGCCGTGCCTGCTCTGAGGCAAGAGGCTGACGCATCAGTACAACAAGAACCTCATTGTCCTTTTAGAGGCAAGGAGATTGAAGAGCCGTCCTCTGAGCTCACGTTTACAGCAAGGAGACTAATCCACAAAGACACGGGGGAGGTTTATAATTATTCGGCAAATACGGTCCCCAGACAAGCCAGGCTCCACATGGAAATCCGGGATTCATGGACTTCCTTATGTGGCCGGGATCTGCGTTCACACACGTCTGAGGACAGATGCCTGTGCAGGGGCAGGGAGGGTCTTCCCACCAGGGCACTGCCGCCTCTTTGAGTTTCAGACTCAGCAAATCACAACAATATTGAGCAGCTCCTGTGTGCCAGGAACTATGGTAGAATTTCCGCGAAAACAGGCCTAATGGTTTGAAGAGCGAGAGCCCTCGTCATTTGACAGAGAAAGAATGACTCAGGGAGTTGAGATGACTTGATTAAGGTCACCCCACTAACCAGAGACTTGGGAGAAATTCATATCTTCTGAGGTCAAGTCCAGAATTCCTCCCACTAACCCTAGCTGGAGCCCCAGTCTCCAGACCAGAGCTGGCGTTTGGAGCAAAGGGAATTTTGCTGATTCTCACAGTGAGTCTAGATAATCTTTCCCCCAAGAGGCCACAGAGAGAAGACTAGGCTCACACCTAAAAAATTAAAATAAATCAACTAGGACTTGTGTTTTATACACAGCACTGACTGGGGAGGCCCCGATCCCCGTGCATGCGTACCAGCCTACAATTCCCTGTCAACACGGAGCCACATAACGTCCCCTCCTGGGGCAATCTCCTAGGCAGCTGGAATACGGCAAGCATTTTGAAAAACCACATCAATGCAAACAATGCTATTCCCACTTAGAGAAAAAACTAGTGCTGTTTCTCGGAATCTTTTTGCTTACCTTTTAAGAGCATCCTGGCTCATTAGGGAGGCTCTAGTTAAATCATCCAGCCTCAGGTTAAGGCCATGTCAGAGTAGCTGACTGAAAAGGGGGAAATGGGAATGGACATGGCCTGGGTAGGGGTGCCTGCACCCTTGAGCCCAGACCAGCCTGACCAGCCAGCGTCTGACCACTGCTGCATCAGGGAACAGTCTACACTGTGCTCCCCTGGGACCCACCCATCGCATCCAAGTGTGGCAACCACAGCCCCAGACACAAAGCGATCCCTTTCCATTAAGCGGGCCCTGCATGTGCATCCGGCAGGCTGCCTACCTGCTAAGACAGACGCTTCTGTGGCGAAGGTCGCGGCGAATTCCCGGATGACGTCTGCAGGGCCGTTGTCCAGGAAGAAGCCCAGGTAGCTGACGGAAGAATGGAGAACCAGAGGGACAACCGAGGGGAAGGAACCCAGCATCCTGTCCCCGGCTCTCTTTAGAGCCTCGTACAGACATTCCACCTTCTGGTCTTCACACTACAGGAAAAGAGACAGAGGTCATCTGTTAATTTAATTAATAAAGATTATGCAGCCAAATGAGCCTCTTTCCTGTTTACAATGCTGTAACATAATTTATCTAGTCCAGGTGCTTGGGGCTATTGGTTTGCTCTATTCCTGGTCCTCAGTTTCTTAGAGATTTCAGGTAAAATTCTTTTTGGAATGGAATGTCCTTTAAATGCCAGGTTGGAAATCCCTTGTCACTTAAACTACAACCTGTCCCCCGGGCTCACGTTGACTTGACTCCTGCCTCTCATCCTGAGCCAGTCTCCCCTCCATAGTTGTGCTCACAGTGCCTTAGTCGGCTACTAGATGTTACCCGTAGACTCCGAGGCAGCCACGGGGTGGGTGGGCACTGCTCAGAACCTACAGCGAGGAGGGTAGTGGCCTACGTGTGGGGCTGCTGACCTTCAGAGACGCCCTGATCTTGCAATGACCCAGCCAGTCATTGCCCCCACGGGGTCTCCTCTGGGGCAGTCTTGGCTCTCAGGCTCCCTGGCCGCCCCGCCGTCTTTCTTGGGCTGCGCTGGGCGGGAGCTCTGCCGTCCAGTCCTCCTCCCCTCTCCCTCACAGCCGTCAGACATACACGCTGTCTGAAGGCTCGCCCTGCCCAGTCCTTTTTTCTCCTCTACCCTTCACAGGCGTTTCTCCCAAATAAATCTCTTGCATGTCTAACTCTGCCTCGGGGTCTGCTTCTTGGAGGACCCTGAACCAACACAGACTCTGACCTGGTCCCTCTCTGCCCCCCAGTTTGCTGCACACAGTCTGACCGTCTTCCTAATGCCACACCTCTGCCATGCCACTGTCCACCCCGAAGCGGCAGGCGCTCCCCCGTCACCTGGAGAGTTCTGTCTAAACTGCTCAGCCTGACCGCCAAGGCCCGTGGGGCTGGCTAGCACCCTTGCTCCACTTCAACACTCACACACCGCCCTCCGGCCGGCCGAGCACCTCCTGGCTCCCGGGCTCAGCACTGCCCAAGCCACGTCTGGGCTTGAAGATGTTTCTCCATATGGAAGACTCCTCGTGGCCATGTGGGACCACAGTGAAACCCAGACACACGTCCGCCGGCAGGAAATCAACCCACTCCCTTTTCTTCCTGGCAGTTGGCTCCCTCTGAATTTCCCACAGTATTTGTTATTCTCTGAAGTATGAACCACATTATCATCTTTAATGTGCATTTCAGCTCCCCTTCTAGTCCAGGAGCCCCGAAATTCATCCCTGTCTGTTTTATCTTTGAAGTCTTTGCAGGGCCTAGGAAAGGGCACTATGCGTGGAGATCACTCAACACATAACGCTGAATGAATATCTGTCCACAGATGTGTGGACAGATGTGTGATCTCAGATGTGTGGTCTCAGATGAGTGATCTGGAAGCAGAGTCATTATAAACAGCTGGAATCAACATCACATTTAGTGGCTGAATGTTTTCATTTGACAGTATCAAAGGGGAAGTGTGAATCTCTATTACACTCTTCTGCCTGAAAGGGGCGCTCAGCCAACTAAGGCAGGGTCAGACGTGGGGTGCGGGAGAGGGGGAGGCTAATGAAAGAGAAGGGAGCTGTGTGTGTCTGGTGCGTTCGTATCTATGTGTGTCTGTGTGTGTCTGTATGTTTGTTTATATCTGTTTATCTCTGTGGTGTGTGTCTGTGTGGTGTGTGTGTGATGTGGTGTGTGTGTGATGTGTGTCTCTGTGTATAGTGTGTGTGTACACATCCGTGTGCATATAGCTGTGTGTAGTGTGTGTGTACGTACCTGTGTGTGGTGTGTGTGCCGGGTTGGGGGCAGGACCTGAGGCCCGGGTCTGCTCTCTCTGCCGTCACCCAGGGTGTCATTTCTAAGGTCACTGCTGGCTTTGGCTCCTTTCCTTTCCCTGATGAGCCCCAAGGACAAGCCAGAGAGGAGCCTGACTATGACAAACGCCATCGCTGGCAAGTGGGGTGACCAACCAGCTTTCCCTGGTTTGCCTGGGACTTTCCTGGTTTTAGCCAAAGTCCTGTGTCCCAGGAAACCCCCCAATGCCCTGGCACATTGGGATGACTGTCAAAGGCTCTGGAAGGTGCTGCTTCCCCTGGGGTATCTTCTGGAAACCTTCCCCATGGAGGTTTGTGTCCCTTCCCCACACCGTGCTGTGGAGCCTGGAATGAAGGGTTCCTTGGGCCCTAGTGGGACCCGAGAAATGGGTGGAACCCTTTGAGTTTACTGACAGCAGAGGCGGGCCGGGCCTGGGTCCCTTTTCCAGATTCCTCTGGTGGGGAGCTCGGAGGAAGCCACTTCTGCCCCTCCCTCCCCCATTCATATGCCTCCTTGTCTTTTGCGCAGCCTCCATCCCTCTCACCTTCCCAGGGGCCCAGGGAGCTGCCCATCTGACCAGTTTCTAAGTCAGAGGGCTGGTACCCGAGGCAGGGAAAAGTCTTGCATTTGTGACTGGCCCACAATCCCCTGTTCTCCAGTTGATCCATCACATGTTTCTAAAGCACCTTCTCTGTTTTAGGCACTGTGCTGGTCTCTGGGGTTACAAAGATGAGGGAGGCATCCACTCTCCCTTGAGGGATTCAGTCCAGTGAGGGATACAGAGCTATACTAGACACATTGTCACTGTCATCCAACACGGAAAGTGACACTAAAGATACAAATGAAAAGCTAACGGGAGCACAAAGGGCAGCAACCCCTTCTCCTTGGGGAGCTGAGGAAGACTTAAAAAAGCGAGTGGACAAATGAGTTTTGTTCTGAAGAAAGAATAGTTGACCAGATCAAGGTGAGGATGATAGTAAAGGATATCTTACAAAGAGAGGCCAGCTAACAATACAGTTGTGGACCACCCCATGTAAACAAATCATATGGCTGCCCTCAATTGTGTCCCATCACTGCCTAGTTCTCACAGAAAATGACCTCAGCTGCCATGTTAATGAGCATTAAAGATACATTGGGGCCAACTCACCGTGAAGAAGTCACAGAGCGTTATGTGAGGGAAGACCTCGTGGGCTCTGTTCTTTGCGCACTGACGCTTGCTCTCTCTCCAGAACTCTTGAAGTTTTTCCAGCAGGGACCCCATGGGACAGAGGAAAAGGGCATACTCCTGGGGGATGGGGTCATCCAGAGAAGGGTCATTGCAATGACAGTGTAGCCTGCAATGGAGAACAGGCCACATTCACCTGGCGTCATGGCAAAGATTCTTTCCCCATGGAGGACAGACAATAACAACGACAGAATAAGTGGGCAAAATCACTGGGAGAGACACACCCAGCAAGGGGCTTTGTGTGGCCACAGAGAAGGTTGGTGTCTACCCAGACTCAGGTCAGTGTGATCCCCAAGCCAAAGACCAAGATAATGAGAGAAAGGCGACAGTAAAACTCAAGACAGGTCTTCACGTAATCTTTGTGGTCCAGCCATCTGCTTAGCGTTGAAAAGTTTGTTGAAAAAATTAACATTTTTATTTTATCTCAAACTTCAAATTAAATGTTAAAATCAAAACCACAAAAAACTAGACAAAATTTAGGTGGCTATTATATTTTCTTTTGATTCAGAAAGTTATTTTAGAACACAAGGAAAAATGATATACAACCCAAAATACAAGTTCATTTCTATAATAATAAAAATGAAAATTGAGACAACCGTGAGACACCGTTTTTCTCATCTGTCAGATTAACAAAATGTCTTTCAAAGGATAACTGTTATCTCAATTGTGTCAAAGGTGCAGCGAGACTTAAGGATGAATTTGTGCAAACTTAATATAAAGCAATTTGCCAAAATGTATCAAGAGCCTTAAAATACCCATTCCATCTGAACTAATAATTCTACTTCCAGAAATTTATCCAAAGGAAAAAGTAAAAAGTATAGGTAAAACTGCATATACAGAGTATTTATTGTAGTGTTATTTATAACCGGAAAGAAGGAAAAACTAGATAAATGATAGTAAATTTATGTATCATCTGTTCATTGGAAGTTATGGGTTTGAATAATTTCTGGTGACTCAGGAACGTGCTCGTGGTGTAATGTTAGGAGCATACAACCACTTGGGAAAACATCAGGTTTATGCAAATACATTCTCCTTAATAATGAAAAAATACCAGTGGAGGAAGCTATCCCTTGTTCATCCTGGCTCTCTTCCCCTTTTCTAGAAGCAACTCCAGTTGTTACTCTGCTTTGTTTTCTTCTAGACATTTAAGTAACAAATCTGTAGATAGCACTTGTGTGTGTTTTATACACATCGTAAGCTACTATTCAAATTATTCTGTAAGTCACATTTTTTTACTCAGCAATATGTTTCGCAATTTCTCCATGTTGATACATATACATCTAGTTAAGTTTGTCACAGTGAACTTTCCACCATCTGCATATGTAATATTTCATTCATCCATTCAATTCATGCACATTTAAATTGTTTTCTTTTTAAAAATTTCATAACACTGTAATCAAGATCTTTGTACATTTTTTTAGACCCTCTGTATTTCTCCAGGAAACGTGCTTAGACGTGGAACTGCTGGGCAGGTGGCTACGCACATTTTCAATGTTGACAGTCATCCCAGATTGTAGCCAGAAAAGTAAGAGAGCACACCTCCCCTCCCCCCACCAGCATTTGAAACTGCCCCTTGTTTTCAGTGACATCTTAATTTGCACCTTCCTGGTTGGTAGAGAGGTTGGGCTCCTTCTTGGCTGAGCCTGGGGTCTCGCCGTTCCTTGGTGGGTCTGCTAGTCTTACTGGCTGCGTGGTAACTAGCAAGGACCAACCCTGCCCACACAGCAGTGCAGTTTTGGTTTTCAATTCAAATTTGGCAACTGGCTTTAGAGTTTTCTTAGCCCAGAGGGTCCCGGGTGTCTCCTTCGTCCTGTAGACAGGTTACTTATTTTACCCTCAGCCTAGGGTTTCTGGAGGAGGAAGGGGGTTTCCACTGAGGACGTGCTGGACACCCGGAGACCCACGGGCAGCATTTCCACCCGCTCTGGGGAGGGCACCCCAGCCTGGTGGGACCCAGTTTTTTTGTTTGATTTTCACTGTGGCTTTTCAGGGGCAGAGTGTTAGGGGACTTCCCACCTGAGGACAGAACGATGGCATCATGGCACATTCAGGCGGGACTGGGTTTTAGAAAAGGGGGTGCCCTCTCTTTGATTTCCAGAGCAGAAAGCTGCAGTCCATAGCAGTGGGTGGCTTGTAGAGTCGAGTAGCTGGTGGATGGAGGGGCCACCCTGAGCCCAGAGCCCCTTACCCCGTCCCCCCAACCAGCCGGCACCCGCTCCGGTGCACCATGCCGATGCCTTTGGGGGCATTCACAACCACTGGTAAGTTCTCTTCCTGTCAGACATAACCTGAGAACGGTGACCTCTCTTTCACATCAGCAAAAAATGGCTCTGCCCTCTGTACTCAACAAATCACGTGCATTTTTTTCTTCTTTGACAGTCACATTTGTATTAAATCAGATTTTTAAGTGAAGAAAGCCTTGTGCACGGTTGTCTCTTTTTCATTTTGCATTTTAAATGTGAGCTCTTTATTCCCTTCCCTTGGTGCTGGGTGGGTAGGCGTGGAGGTGGCCCCTGCCCCGCCCAGAGTGCACTGGGCACTTCCCAGTGTCCATCCCGCAGAGTCCTCAAAGCACGGGCACCTCAATCCAAACACTCCACGTCTGCAAAGCCAGCCCCACTCACCAGTCCGATGCCTCTTCCACTGTCTTCCTTCCTGTTGCTGCCAATGCCTTTAGCCTGTAGGGAAGCAGAAGGCAAGGAGCATTCAGAAGCCTGCGTTGCATTCTCAGGGAAGGGATGAGAGAAGCAGGGGCAGCCCTACAACTTGTCGGACCTTCATATCAGACATATCAGGACCTGGAGGGGCTGGAATGCTAGACTCTGCAGCTGGCAGCTTGAGTGTCCAGGTCTCTGTCCTCCGAGAGGCATCACTGTGGTTTTTGAAAATGCAGACCTGTTCACACCACCCTTGCTCATTTTCCTTTTGGGGATCCCTCCCTGAAGTCCTTGGCAACGAGACCAAGGGCTCATGCCCTGAGGTCCACCCACGCCTGCAACCCCATCTGCTCCACCCTCCCCATGCACCCTGCACCCAAGCCAGGTGGACCCACTGCCTGTGATGGGTCATATCCTCGGCTTGCACACGTGCCTCCCTGCCAAAATGCGGCCCTGTGCTGACATGCCCTCAAAGACATGGCCCTGGGTCTTCTATGATTGCTCACACGTCCCTCCACCAGGAAGTCCTCCCTGAACCGCCCAAGCAGGGTGGACGTGCAGCCCCTCCTGTGTTTCCCCACCGCACGTGTGGTCACCTTGCTTCTCATCTCACTGAACTCGTGTCTGTTTGCCTCCCCTACCAGACCATGATGTCCCTAGGCCTAACGATGTCTTACTTATCATTGTAACTGGATGTAAATATATTGAATTGAATTGAACTGAACCTCCAAATTGTACAGAGTGAAACCCGGCTAAGGTAATGCATTCAGGCAGTCAGCCTGGAAGTGGCTGGAATTGTTGAGGAACCCAGTACGGTGCCGCCCAATACCGACGGGATGTGGCCACCTGGAGGGGTTTTAACAGGGAGGCCTTGGCTCCGGGCTTCCCTGGGGTGCTCCAACCTAAGGGAGAAGTTTAGTTAAACATGTTTCTCTACCCCCAGCATATGGCTAAGGTGTAAACTAGAAGGAATTTTGAGTATGCGTCCACACTACAGCTTCAGTGATGTAATAAAGCCCGGGCTCTAGAGGCACCGAGAATAGGGTTCCTGTCCTGCTCTCTCTGGCCTCAGTGTCCCCATCTGCACCTGTTGGACGATGCCCAGGACGGTGCCCAGCACACGGCAGGCACTCTGCTCGTGCTTGCTTCCATTCCCACTGCACAGACCCCCGGATTATTATGAACATAGTGGTGACGACTGAGTCCTGAATTGGATTGGAGATGCAAGGGGTCTAGCTTCAAAGTTATTTCATCCACTTGGGTCAGGCTTTTTGTTACAATGTTTAAGGAAGGTTTGACCCGCTCTCAAATCCAAGGTTACCTAAGGGGACTTCTGATGTATTTTCCCATATGAATAAGCATGTGAAAAGGACCAGAACTAAGCAATCGATTTCCCGTGGAAGCTGTAACCCAGGGTCAGGATCACAGTCATTGATTTTGGGGATTTCTCCACTCTCTGAGAGGGGTAACTCCTAAGGTTAAAATCTTCCGTGTGGACATTTTTCCTGGGCGAGTAGGATTGTGCTGACACTCTTCCGGTAGTTTCTTCATCATTTTGTTTCGTTTTCAGACATTCAAGAGATTTTCCCTAAGCACTAATGGTTTTCCTGCACTGTTTAGAAACACAGTCCCGTCTCAACAGGTCCCAGCAATAGAGACTCACTGGGCTCTGGGATCTTTCAAATTAGAGTTTGAAATGTCGTCTCAGAGTCGCCGAGCTGCTCACAGAGACGGTACAACCAGGCCCCAAGCTCCTCCAAACTCTGAAAAATGGGGCTGCCATGGTAATACTTGGTTTCCAATTTTCACAAATTTCAGTGTCCCCCCCCATCAACCAGCTGAGTTTGTCTTTAAAAAGCAAAGATCACGTTATTTATAAAAAGCAGAAAAGGGTCTTATTTTGAGACAGTGTCTCATCCTGCGTGGTGTACCCCTTCGACAGGAAGCTGGTGCTCGGAGCTGCCTGCAGTTTCACTGCGGAGCCACAGAAGGGTCAGGCTCGGGGGTCGCAGGCTCCCCCAGCCAGGGCAGTACTCACGCGGTGTGTGCCGGGAAGCCCATCCCCAGGAGGGAGTCCAGGAGGGCGGGGGTGCTGCGGCCCTTGAGCTTGTTGGAGATCTTGGCGTAGAGCTGAGTCTCCCCGGCTGCCATGTCTTCCTGCCTGCAGGCTGAAATGAGTAGATAAAGCCAGAGAGGGAGAGGCAAGAGAGGCTGAAGCTGTGAAGAAAAACCTCAAGCCTTTTTTGATCTTTCTAACAAAAGCTAATATCCTGTTTGCATGAGATACTGGTTTTCAAAAATCTCTTTGTGGGGTGCTGGGGTGCAATATCCACCAAGCCTCTTTCCACAGCGCGGTTTGGGATCCGGAGGTCCAACCAAGCCTTTGCACTGACGTGGGCTGCATTGGGGAGCAAGTCTGCAAGAGAGGGAGAGCGAGGGGGCAGGACGAGGGAGTGGAACCAGGGGCAAGTGTTCTCTACCGGGTCCCACTGACTGTAGAACCCCAAGCGACCCTGGATCTAGTCTTCTTATCTGCAAGCAAGACATTAAACTACGCTGTATCTATTTTCCCTGCTAGCTCTGAAATTTTGGGTTTCTTTAGTTATTCATTGACATTTTTTTTATTTTAAAAACTTTTAAAGTTTAATATGCGTGCAGAAAAGTTGACAAATCATATGTGTACAGCTCAATGAATCTTCATAAAGTGAGCACACACACCTAACCTTCCCAGGACCAGCAATTAAACAGTGGTCCTCAACCAGAGGATATTGGCCTCCATCCCCGGGGACCGCTGGCAGGGTCTGGAGACATTTTTGGTTGTCACAACTGGAGGGGATGCTTGCTACTGGCATCTAGCAGATTGAACCCAGGAATGTTGCAGTGCACACGAGAGCAAAGAAGGATCCAGCCCAAAATGTCAATAGCATCAGGGTTGAGAAACTCTGCTTGAGAACATTACCAGAACCTCAGAAGCACCCCTGCTCTCAGCCCCCACCCAGCTTCCTAGTTGCCTCCTCTCTCGCCCCAAAAGGTAACCGCTGTACACACTTGCACATTAATTTTGCCTATTTTTGAAACTTATATAAATAGAACCGTACAGCATGTACTCTTTCGTGTCTGGTTTCTTTTGCCCCAAATCATGTGTGTGATATTTATCCACATTGTTGCTTGTAGCTGTAGTTAGTTCCCTGTATTGCTGTGTAACATTCTATCAGATAAATGCACCATACTTTATTTCTCCATTTCTCTGTTGATGTACATTTGGGTGTGTTTCAGTTATTTTGCTGCTGTGGGTGTTCTTGTATACATCTTTTAATGCCCAATGTATGCATTTCTGCTGGGTACACACCTCGGAGTGGGATTTGGGGGTCATAGGATATGTGCAGACTTCATTAAAAACTGCCAAGCAGTTTTACAAAGCAGTCGTTCCAATTTGCCCTCTCGCCAGCAGTGGATGCGAGTTTCACCTGCTCTGCATCCTTATCCATACTTGATACTGTCAGTCTTTTTAGTTTTAGCCAATCTAGGTGTGTGTATCTCACTGTGGTTCTAATTTGCATTTCCCTGAATGGCAATGACATTGAGCACCACGAGACAGCCTATTGGCCATTTGAAGAACCTCTTTGGGGAAGGGCCTGTCCAAAGCTTCTGCCTTTTAAAAAATTGGGTTGTTTGCTTTTTCTTATCAATTTGTGGGAACTCTGGAGATAAGTCTTTTGTTGGATGCATTTAATGGTAATAACTTCTTCCAGGCTGTGGTTTGCTTTTTTAATCTCTTAATTATGTCTTTGAGTGAAACGAAATTTCTTAATTTGAATGAAAACTAATTTATCAATCTTTTCTTTTATGGTTTGAACTTTCTGCATCTTGTTCAAGAAATCATTGTTAACCCAACATTGATGAAGATTGTCTCCTACATTTTCTTTTTGAGGCTTTACTACTTTTACTGTTCATATTTAGCTCTATGGTCCATTTGAATTAATTCTTTGTATGGGGTGAGGTAGGGGTTTATGTTCATTTCTTTCCCCATACCTGTGTTCAATGAAAAGACCATTCTTTGCCCAGTGAATACAGTAGAATGTTCATTATAAATCAGGTGACTGTATATGTATTAGTCTGTTTCTGACTCCATTATGTTCTCTTATTGGATTTGTCCATTTTTGTGCCCATACTACACTGTTTTAATTACTATAGCGATAAGTCCTCTGATTTTGTCTTCTTCTTCAAGATTGTCTTGGCTCCTCTAGGCTCTTTGCTTTTTCATATAAATTTAAAAATCAGGTTGCCATAGTGTGCCATTGGAGAGCACAGAAAGACCCCCATATGTGGTCATTTGATTCCCAACAAAGGGACCAATGTAACTTAATAGGGGAAAGGATAATATTTTCAACAAACGGTGCTGGAAAACTGCATATCGTTATGGGAAAAATATAAATTTCAACCCTTACTCCACATCATGCACAAAAACTAACTCAAATTTATGATGGACCTAAATGTAAAAGCTAAAACTATAAAACTTCCAACAAAAATGTAGGAGAAAATTTTTTGCTATGCTGGAGTTTGAAAGCTTTGTTATGACACAAAAAAATATGAATCATAAAAGAAGAAAATTGTTAAGATGGACTTCATCAAAATTGAAAACTTCTGCTCTTTGACAGACACCATAAAGAAAATAAAAATGTAAGCCACAGACTGGGAGAAAATATCACCGTAGATACCTGACAAAGGACTTGTATCCAGAATATACAGAATATAACATAATGTATTTCTGCATCTATTATATATGTATATTCTCATAATCAATAATAAGAAAAGAAGCAATCTGGTTAAAAAATGGGTTAAGTGGTTAAAGATATGCAAATGGCTAATGAAGACGTGAAAAGATATTCAACATCATTAGTCATCAGGGAAATGTAAATTAAAACCACAATGTGATACCACAACACAGTTAGTAGAAGAGCTAAAATTGAAAAGACTGACAATATCAAGTTTTGACCAACCGTGGAATAATTGGAACTTTCACACATTGTCCAACCACTTCCAGAAAACATAGTCTTATAAAGTTAAACATATTCTTACTATACGACCAATCCACTCTTAGCTATCTCCCTAGGAGAAATGAAAATGTATGACCACACAAAGACTTGTATGTGAAATGTCTGTAGTGGGTTCATTCACAGTAGACCCAAATTGAAAAGAATCCAAAAACATACAACTGTTATAGACTGGTGAATGGATACAAAAATTATGGTACAGTCATGTGTTGCTCAATGTTGGGTATACGTTCTGAGAAATGCGTCGTTAGGCAATTTCAGCATTGTGCAAACATCGTAAATCGTACTTACACAAACCTAGATGGTATAGCTTACTACACACTTAGGCTATATGGTGCTAATCTTATGGGACCACCATCGTAAACGTGGTCTGTCATTGACTGAAATGTCGTTATGCAGTGCATGACTGTGTATTCAATCAGTGGGATAACATATATCAATAAAAAGGAACACATCACTGATTCATAGAAGAACATGGATGAATTTAAAAGAACATTGTTGACTGAAGGAAGCCAAACACAAGATATAGATACTGTACGATTTTATTTAAATGAAATTCTAAAAAAGGTAAAACTGACCTATGAAGACAGAAAGCAGATGAGTGGTTGTCAGGCCAGGGTCAGAGGGAGTTTTTGGGGGTGATGGAAACGTTCCACATCCTGATTTGGTGGTGACCAAATGGATGCATAGATCTTCAAGACTGACTGAATTGAGCACTTAGAATGGGTACAGTTGATAGTGTGTAAATTAAACCTCAATAAAATTGATTTTAAAAAAGGAAAGGGAAGGGGCCAGCCCTGGTGGCCTAGTGGTTAAGTTCCAAGCGCTCTGCTTTGGCGGCCGGGGTTTGGTTCCCAGGTGTGAACCTACACCACTCGCCTGTCAGTGGCCATGCTATGGGGGTGGCTGACATACAAAAAAGGGCAAAAAGAGAAGGGTTGGAAGCAGATGTTAGCTCAGGGCTAATCTTCCACAGCAACAACAACAACAAAAAAGTAGATTTTGGGTCTGAAGTGACGGCCTCTACTCAAATATATTTATCTCTTCTAAATAGTAAACTACCTTTTCAGCAATTGTGCTTATAACATATTAAAATGTAAATTTCTCTTTAAAAAAAATCTTACTTGTGTAAGCCAGGAAACGCCCTATCTAGCTTAATCCCTTTTTCTTAGCTTGAAAAGTTATCTTCCAAGGCCAACAGCAAAAAGACTAAAGCTTCCTGACTCAGAATTTCCCCTGTGGCTGACCCCCAAGCCTCCCGTCACTCGATAAAGGGATCAAGGTGGAGACTGAGACTGTGCCTAGAACGAAGCTGTGTGCAAGTGCTTACGAAAGCTTCACAGGTCCTAGGGGAGCCCTCAGGGTAGGATGCCCCTTCTCATACCTCCAAACCAAGACTACTTAAGACGCCGGCTTGGTGAACATCAGATGCCAGCCCTAGGTGTGCTGATTTTTCTTTCCTTAAAATTTTATACAGAGCTTGATGGAACTGATCTGTAGGTTTTTCTGAGAAGCTACTTTATAGTGGTGGAAGTTCAGCCACCCTCATGGGTCTTTTCCCTACTATCCCTTGGTAAACTGGCTCGACTTTTGACCTCATCTGACTCACATGCCAGCATGTTAACACATGTTAATATGACCTCGTGTTGCTTTCAGTTTTCTGCATGTCTACTCAGTATTGTTTGTCCACCTTGGTTTACAGTCAGCTCATCGATGTACAAGGATCCCCATCACACACTCATCACTGTGCTGGGCACCATGAGAGTACATTCTAGACTCTGTCCTCCAAGAGTTGTACTCCAGTTGAGAGCACCACCTACCACTCAGGTAGAAGCAAAGGAATAATCAAATTCTAAGTTTCCTATCACTATCTTTAAGGGCAAATGTTGGTTCAGGGACTGGTGAGAGTAGTTAGGAAGATGGAAAGGAGGGATGTACGAGCTCGACGAATACCTGGTGTTATATCCAAAAGACATTGGTAGGTGCGTGGGCAGGTGCTGGGAGGCAGGGAGACAAGACTGAATTAAACACGATTGGCCAAATATCTCTCTTTGGCTACTATTGCCATCGGCAAATCTTGCCAACTCCACCTTCAAAATCAATCCCTAATCTAGCCTTGATCTGCATCTGCACCACCAGCGCCCTGGTCCAAGTCGCGGCCATGGTGGCCTGGGTTTTCAGCAGCCTCCTCTCAGCTCTCTGTGCCTCCACCCTGCCCCTCCACTCTGTGCACACCTGTAGATCCCGACTTTGCCCAGCTCAGCTCCTCCGTGGTTTTCCCTCACATGGAAACCAAACCAGAGTCCTCCCAATGGCCCGGGCCCTCCATGATCTGCCCATTGGCCTCTCCAGGTGCACAGGCTTTCTTGGAGTCCTCAAACACCCCCAGCTCATCTCCTCCTCCGGGCTTTTGGTGCTGATGGTACCATGCTTGGAACAACCTCTCCTCTTAGCTCATGAGACCCACTTTAGCCCATCATCGAGGTCTCAACTAAAATGTCACTTCTTCCTGGAGGCCTTCCTCCACCACCCTGTCCCATCATTCTCCAAGCCTCTCCCAGCCTCATCTCTTCCTAGCCTTTGTCGTCACCTGAGACAACAGGTGAGTGTTTCGTCCCCTCTGCCGTCTGCTCTGAGTCTAGATGCCTGGCTCATGGCAGATGGCCCGTAAATATTTGCTGAATAAACGAATGCAGGATTCACATCTAGCTCTGCTCCACCGGCCTTCCAAAGGGCCTCTTAGCCCCTGTGCCCACAGCAGCAGAGATGTTCTCTCCTGATTAAACATCTTTAGGCTGCATTGTGTGCAGAAACCTCTTGGGATGCAGAGGCCCCTGCAGCACGGAGTGTGACGTGTCTCTCTCCAGTGCTCTCTGTGAGAACACGTCAGGTTCTCTGTCTTTTGTCTGCAGAGCAGCTGCAAGTGTAAACGTGGGCTCAGTCACATGGAGGGCTAGAAGCCCCCAGCAAAGCGTTTCACCTGCCCCTCTTGGTGCTCTTGCTCAGCACTGGGCAGGACCTCTCTGTTCTTTTAAATGAAAGGAACGCCTGTGTTTCAAAGACTCTCTTCTGTGAAGTTTCTGAAAAGGTTTGCTTACCTTACTTACTAATTAAAGGCAAGCCACATTTTTTCCCTCCCTGGTCTCTGTAGTCATACTGCCAAGGCCACTTGATAGCCACAACCAGATTGGGTTACATGGACACCTGCGATAATGCCATTTGCTGCGATGATTGAGTGGACAAGGCTGAGTGACTTGGTGGAAACATTTCCCGATTGGACTAACCTGTTGGCGGCCTGCTCACCACCACACTGGCTTTTATAATGAAAAAGGAAATTATTTCTGCTTTTAATGATGGCGGCTCCAGAAACGGTGAGTAAAGTGGGTGGGGGAAGAGAAGACGCTTCTAAAAGACAACTTCTCAGCATTTCTCTATGTTGTGAAACCTACCAACCACGGCCTGTTTGTTTGGGAAAGGGGCTTCCTTATCGAGGTGCAATGTTTCAGAAAGCATTTTACCATGTATTCTTATTCTTGTTATAAAGTTAAGCTGCGTAATTTGCCACATGCTGATAGTAAGCAGCAAGTATCGGCAAGAATCGAAGTCAAAAATGCTGAATGTGAATTTATTAGTTTTCTAAGATATTCTTCAAAACTACTCTTGTGATGGAAATGAAATAAACATTTTTAGTGCATAACTCTTGCTTAGATTTTCCACGTGAAACAGCATGAGGACAAAGTTTGTTTTAAGCGACTTAATAGTTCCCTTTTGAATTTCAAACATTGCAACAAGCAAACAGAGAGAAAATGAAAATGAGGGATCTAAGTATCTATGTTTCTATGCCTGTGGGAACCTCTGGATTTTAGCGCTTTGCAGCAGCAGGTTCCTAGAGAACTCATGCCTGATCCCTGGGAGAGTGAAGTGGAATATAGTTGGGAACGTTCAGCCGTTTCTTGCTCCCTCCGCCCCTCTTAGAGTGACAGGGAATGACTTCGAAAGGCTTCCGACCTCTTTGGTGTTGCGATAGTGGAATTCTCTTGGAGGAAACAGAGCGCCAGTGTAGCTTTGGTGCAAGCCAGCAGTTCCCAGCCACCTCTCCCTTTGCGTTCTAGTGGGGGCTGGGCACCCAGAGGGCGCGGATAGTTTCATCCTTAATTAGGTCATGCCTGTGTGAGCCAGGAAAGGGTTGTGTTTATGGGAGGCTACAAATACTGTGGGCAAGAGTCCGGGCGCTGGCGCCATCTACATTTTTGGGGCATCGACATTATGTGAGTATTAAAACTTCTTGTGTGTATGGTAGGGGTACCACATGCGTGGGCAAAGGGTCGAGTTTACATGGGAAAAAGAACAATGACAAAAAAGAGAAGGAAAATGCTTTAAAAGCAATTTATCTTCCAAAAATTAAGGATACAGTAACTTCTCAACGGTCAAAGGGCATATCTCTAAAGACATGCTATTTGACTGATTTTAAGATTGATCAAACAACAATGGGAAAGTCATTATTTTAGCAGAATTAAGTTCACGTTTTTTCGCTAACTCTAGAAGTTTCTCTGTTATCTGTTGTGGCTCAGAAAAAAACGCGTTCCCACTGGACAGATAGTTTTGATTAATCGGTACTGAATGTGCTTTACGTGGATTGTCGAATTTCAAAGATTTAACGTGATAAAGATGCGTTTGATGCTGTAACTATAAACCGAGAAGCAAACACCTTCTGTTCTCCCTGGCGAAGGAAGTGGAGGTAGAGGTGGGGCCGCATCTCAGAGGTCCTGAAATAGTCACCATGGGGGAGAACGACCCGCCTGCAGCTGAAGCCCCCTTCTCCTTCAGATCGCTTTTTGGCCTGGACGATTTGAAAATCAGTCCTGTTGCGCCAGGTAAGTGGAACCAGGTGTGATTTCTGTCCCCCCTGACCCCGCCCCAATCTAGATGACAAACGTGGCTGAGTGTCCCTCCGAGGAAGTATCTCCCCAGGAGTCCTTGCACCCACAGCCGGACACGTGTGCTTCCTCGGGGTTACAGAATCCCAGAAAGAAGGAGCATTCGAGAGGGCATCACTTGCCAGCTCCCTAGAGACAGGCCTTTGCATTCTCTGGATGGAGGTTTTCAAAATTGAGGCTCCAACTGCCCCTGGGAGTTGGGGGTCAGATCCTGGCCAGGAAATCTCTGAGCTTTCCGGGAAGTCCTGAGAGCCAGTGCTCACTGGCCCTTCCAGAAAAGTTAAAATAAGTTGGACATCACTGAAGATATTGGAAGCCTCGATTAAAATCCTACAGGGAGTGTCAGAGTTGCTCCTAGCCGTAAAGGAAGGCAAGCTGATTTTGTAAATAGGTTACAGACGCTTGGAGAAGCAGTGGACTCCATAATGCCTTTCCAGCTGGGATCTTTCAGGCAAGACCCTATCAGGACTCGTCCTGATGAGCTGTGGCTCGTTGGTCCCGGATGCAGTCAGGAAGACTGACCTCTGGGGCTGGGAAGGGGAACACCTGGGGGCTCTGGCTGAGGTTCCAGAAAGCATGGAGGGGGGGGCTCCCCGAACGATTCCTTTTAAACTGCCTGGAGGATTGATGTGGGAGGGGTGGTAGAGAGGATGGGAGAGGGGAGGAGAGGTTTCAAGTAAGGGAAAAGATACCCAATTTAAAAATACAGCTCAAAAAATTAGCATAAATGTAAATTTAAACAATACTCCATAATCACCTGATCCCCAAAACTTACCTGGATTTTATGTCTGCATTCATTCTCTTCTGGTCCTTGCCCATAGGTACACACTCTTGCACAGTGCAGACAGAGACAGATGTTTTTCCATGTGCTATTTGGTTTTTATAAATGCCTTTTTTTTTTTGGTGAAGAAGATTAGCCATGAGCTAACATCTGTTGCCAATCCTCCTCTTTTTGCTGAGGAAGATTGGCCCTGGGCTAACACCCGTGCCCATCTTCCTCTACTTTATATGTGAGATGCCTGCCACAGCATGGCTTGACAAGCCGTGCATAGGTCTGCGCTGGGGATCTGAACCTTCGAACCCCGGGCTGCCGAATCAGAGCATGCCAACTCAACCACTACGCCACTGGACTGGCCTCATAAATGCCCTTTTTTTTAATAGCATCACAACATTCCATCAAATAGATGTAGTAATTTACATAGTCATTTTATCATCATTTGACATACAGTTGTTTCTAATTTTTTTTTTATCAGGAGGACTAGCCCTGAGCTAATATCCGATACCAATCCTCTCCTTTTTTCTTGAGGAAGATTGGGCCTGGGCTGACATCTGTGCCCATCTTCCTCTACTTTATGTGGGATGCTGCCACAGCAGGGCTTGACAAGCGGTGCGTTGGTGGGCGCCTGAGATCCGAACCTGCGAACCCCAGGCCACCACAGCAGAGGGCGAGCACTTAACCACTGTGCCACCAGGCCGGCCCCTGTTTCTAATATTTTTATAAGATAAATAATATGAATGTGAATAGTGCTATATATATTGCTCTCTGCTAATTTTTTATTATTTCATCATGATTAACTCCTTTAGTGGGAAAGAAAAAAACTTTTTTAAACTTTTCTTTTTAAATAAAGCAATGTATTGTTCATTATAAAAATTTAGAAAATACAGTTAATACAAAACGATTTTTTAAAGTTACCCACAATTTTACCATTACTCACAGATAACCCTATTAGCACTTCATCGTTGGATTTCTTGCCTTTTTCCTATCAATATATTGCTATTTCCCTTTGGAAATGACATATACTATTTGTACCATTTTGAAGTTTTTTTTTTAACTCAACAATCTCACATTCATTTTTCCATGATGTTAAATAATTAAATATTCTTCAGGGGTTGGCAAAACTATGGCCCAGGGGCCAAATCTGGCCCACTGCCTGTTTTTATAAATAAAGTTTTATTGGAACATAGACACATCCATTTATTCACATATTGTCTGTGGCTGCTTTCACACCATAGTAGAGTTGAGTAGTAGTGATGGAGACCATGGGGCCCATAAAGTTTAAAATATTTACTATCTGGTCCTTTACAGAAAAGTTTTGCCAACTCCCTTTCTCTGTCATTTAAGTATCTCTATACCATTTGTTATTTCACCAGTTCCTTCCGTCCGTCATTAAGCTGCATGCATGCAGTATTATAACATGCATCAATGTTATAAATACCACTCCTCTAAGTGTCCTTGTAGGCAGAAATTTGTGTACATCTATGATGACATCTTAGGATAAATTCTTAGAAGTGGAATTACTAGGTCAAGAATTCCATCCATTTTTAAGCTTTTTGGTACTATGTCCAATTTGACTCTCAAAAAGTTTATACAATGTATACTCCTATTGGCTGTAAGTGGAGGTCCATTTCCCTTTGCTTTGAACTGCATTGGGTATAATAATAATAATAATAATATCATAGCCATGTTGACATGTAGTTATGTCTAATTTGCATTTTTTTCATTTCCAGAGAGGTCGAAGTTTCCTTGTGTTTGTTTACTGTTTGCCTTCCTTCTTTGGAGAGATGCTATGCATTTGGCTTTTTATTCCAGAACAAGGAGAGGGTGGGGCCCCAGGAGGGCCCACAGGGCCCCGTGGAGGAGGAGCTGTAAAGGGTCAAAGGTGAACTGATACAAAGGTTCTGACTGGACAACAATTGAATCAACAATTTGGACTCATTTCCTCGATCTAACTCTTAGATACAGAACAACTGGAACGATAAGAGGTCATTCTTGGGGTCATTTGAAGTGTAAATGGAGAGTAGGCGTCTCAGTGGGGTGAGGTATTAGTTTGGTGCAGCCTTCTGGGGGTGGGGAGGGTGGAGAAGAGAAGTCTGCTCTGCTAACTCAAGACCACGAGTTGGTTGCCCTGAAAGGATTGGTCCTTGACCCTGAGATGAGACAGCCTTCATCATCACGCTGTCATTCATTCATTCACTCATCCATTCAATTGACTAACATTTATCGAGGAATACCGCATGCTGGGTGCTGTTAGGTGCTGAGAACACAGCCACCACAAACACTTGCTCATCCAACCAAAGCAGAGACTTGCCCTTTGTCTCTCTTTGTTTCTGTATCCACGTTGTCACTGGGTGTGCGATGCGTCGTCTTATTTCCCTGCGCTCTTTCCCTTTTCTCTCTCCCCTTTTCCTTCCATTACGCCTTTCTCCTTTTCCTCACACTACACCTCTTTTTTTCCATTTTTATCTTCAAATTCTCTTCCTTTTTAGGAGGCCTCAAACTATATTGACCATTTTGTAATCACGCTATTGCCAGAGGGTGGAGTTGTGGGTCTCCAGAGACAGGCAGGGAGAGGTCTTTTTGGCTCTTCCGTGGGAAGCTTCTGGGCTCAACGTCTCCAAGACCAGGAGAGGAGAGGCAGGGGCTGTCTCTGTCCTGCGTGATCCTGTGACGCCTGGAAGGCTTTCTCCCCTTCCTGCATTCCAACCTTTCTAATTTGAAGTGGAGACAACTTTGGCATAGGTGTATTTTCAGGATGGGTGAGATAATTTGCATGAAATGGCCTATTCTCCCTAAAAGTAAAGGGTGCGAATGGAAATTCTCCTGGTTGCCCAGAGAGCCTTGTACTTGTGGGTATCTTAATGCTCTGTGCATCTTCTTTGCTGCCCAGTCGGATGGGTTCTTTAGGCAAGAACTGGGACGGGTCTGGAGTTTTACCTTACCTGCAAGCTAACGAGTCAGCCTGCCACAGTGCCCTGGATGCTGGCAGAAGACATGAGACTCCAGGGTCAGACACAAAGGACTGTGTTAGTTACAGCACAAGTAGCACACGCATCCTGTTTGAGTTGGCTATCCTTGCCCCCAAGTCCCATGGAGGCAATATGGAGGAGACCAGGTGTATGTTGCACAGACAGTGGGTCTGCGTCATAGTTAAGGAACTCAGAGCTATGGGAACCCAACTCTTTTATAATGTGCTGCAAGCAGACCTATGCAAACTTTCGCCCTAAGGAAGACCTTATATTTACTAAGCTGGACTGTTCTGGAGAGAGACACTCTCTGTATCTTCTAAGGCTGTTTGCTCTGCCAACATTCTTGAAGAGTTGGTCTGGAACAAAGACCATTAGTGTCCTTGTGCACAAGACTCATGGAGAATGGTCTACTGCATCATCTGGTGACCTTCTCAGAGGTCCCAGCTCTCCCTCTCCTGAAAGTGCCCTGTTTGGGTTTTGCTTGTCACCCTCCTCTGTAGGGAAATGTCCTTGGGAGTTGAGGCTCTATATCCCCTCTGTTAGTTTCCTAGGTCCACTGAAACAAAGCACCACAAACCAGGTAGCTTAAAACAACAGAAATCTTGTCTCACCACTCTGGAGGTTAGAAGTCTGAAATCAAGGTGTTGACAGGGCCATGTTCCCTCTGAAAGCTGCAGGGGAAGACTTCCTTGCCTCTTTCTAGCTTCTGGTGGTTTGCTGATAATCTTTGGTGCTCCTTGGCTTGTAGATGCATCACCACAATCTCTGCCTTCATCTTCACACTGTCTGTGTCTCTTCATGCTATCTTCCCTTTGTGGCTGTCTGTCTTTGTGTCCGAGTTTCCCCTTTGTATAAGGACACCAGTCCTATTAGATTAGGGCCCACCCTAATGACCTCATTTTAACTGGATTACCTCTACAAAGACTCTATTTCCAAATAAGATGCTATTCTGAAGTACTAGGGGTTTGAACTTCAACATGTCTTTTTTGGGGGCCACAACTCAACCCCCAACACCATCCCCTAACCTGGGACGGACAGAACTGGGTCAGAGTCGGAGAGCGTGGGGCCGAACTTCTAGAGAGTGTTCCCCCTGGAAGGTGGCACTTTTTCTAATTAAGGCTACTTTCTTTGGGCTGGAACATTCTCTGCATCGAGGGCAGTGGGAATGAATAGCTAAATTTTAAGTTTTATTTTATTCAAATGCGCTGTTCAGCGGCTTTTTGCCCTTTCACCCGCCCTTGGTTTCCAGATGCAGATGCGGTTGCTGCACAGATTTTGTCGCTGCTGCCACTGAAGTTCTTTCCCATCATCGTCATTGGGATAATTGCGTTGATATTGGCACTGGCCATTGGTCTGGGCAGTGAGTACGATTCATTATTTAGTAGGTTCTCAGATGCCTACTAGGCATTAAACTTTCATGAGCTCCCCCCTCACAGCAGCGCAGCGCTCCCACCCAGCCTTAATTACCGGAGGCTGGCGCCCTCGGGCTTTGCTGACTTTGGGTTTTCTGTGCCTGCATGAGTGTAAAGCCAACCTGGGGCCCAGCAGGGGCTGTTGGCCATGCTCGGGGCTTTGTCACCAAGGAAGCTGCCCGGTTAGAAGTGTCCAAAGGCAGCTGATGAAACAGAATCCCGAGGGCAGGGGGGCTGGTGCGGAGCTGAGTGGAGGAGACAAGGAGGCCGTTCATGCAAGGCCGCGCACGCCGGCCGTTCTTAAAATAAGGTGTTTGTGGCTTTTGAGAAACGGAGTCATTTGAACGGCATCTCATAGCGAACAATTTGTCATTTTCTCTTTCAAGTGACTCGATCACAGATCAGTTTAATTCTCCACCTGCTTACCTGCGTCGTCGTCCACAGTTCCTTCACTTCTTGCCCCGAGTCAGAGAGAACAGGAGGTGGATTGGGGGGGCGAGTCCTCACTCAGAGCTCCTTGCTCAGCCGGCTCAGCCGGTCAGTCCGAAGCCGCCGTGCGCTTTCTCTCTTGACCTTGAGCCCTCCGGAGTCTAAATTCGCCTTAAGCCGTGGCTCCAGGCCACTTAGTGAGACAAAGTGGGGCAGCAGCCGCACCCCCGGGCATTTGGAACAGGAACTGGGCTGAGGGAAACCGGCTGCTGACAGAGGCGCAATTTCAATGCAGGTTTCATTATTAACGCGCAAGCTCAAGGCCATGTGGCAGGTGGGCGGTTGTTAGTGCTGTACACTGAAGGAGCCCTTCCTTATTAACACTCCCTTCTGCCCCTTCCCTCAGTCCACTTCGACTGCTCCGGAAAGTACAGGTGCCGGTCGTCTTTTAAGTGTATTGAACTGACAGCTCGCTGCAACGGGGTCTCAGACTGCAAAGACGCGGAGGATGAGTACCGATGTGGTGAGGGCATCCCTTTTCACTGCAAAAGCAGGAGGAAGTCAGCACAGCCCCACCCTGACTTTCCCATCTGTGAAATGGGTCCAAGTCGGTGCCATTGTCAAGTCATGTCCTCAACTGGGATCCATTCGCCCCAGGAGATACTGGGCTGGGTGTAAAGGGAAGGCCGGAGCTTAAATTCAGTTCAGGAGACTACACAAGCAATAAGAAGAGACCTCTAAGAGAGCTCAGGGGGTCCAGACAGTAAGAACTGTCACTGCCCTGAGAGGGTGGGGGGCGCTGTGGGTGAGGAGCAGGTCAGGTTCAGCAGAGCAGGGATCTGAGCTGGCTGCAGAGAAATCTCCGCCTGTGGTCTCAGGGCCCTGCCGGCCACTGATGGACTGTTCTTCCCGTGCATCGGCCAGTCCGCGTGAGCGGGCAGAACGCCGTGCTCCAGGTCTTCACAGCTGCTGCCTGGAGGACCGTGTGCTCTGACGACTGGAAAGGTCACCATGCTAATGTCGCCTGTGCCCAGCTGGGGTTTCCAAGGTAATTTAAGGAGTCTTTCCAGCTCATGGGTAAAACATTAATAGTGATAATATGATCAAGAGAGAGACACCCATCGTTTAGTGGGGCACTTACAGGTGCTTGTTATCATATTGCGTCATCATGGCAACCCTATAATGCTGACATCATCCTCGCTCTACAGGTGTGCAAACCGGGGCCCAGATGCGATAAGTGACCTGCTCAAGGTAGCTCAGGAAATGGCACATTTGGGGGTGTCTCAGCGCCAGGACAGGACCCTCGATACAAACATACAAGAAAGAGCTTTGGAGCTGAAAACTAACCCCCTAGATCCCAGGCTGCAGCTGTAGGGCAGCTTCCCGGGCACCCCCACCTGCTGGTGGGCAACATGTGGCCGTTCATACACACTTCCCAAGGACCCCTAAAAATCCAAGTCTGAAAAGTCGGCAATTTAGTGAAAGCACAATCATTCAAAACAGTTGTTTAGCAACATGTAGAGGAAAGGACTGTGGTAGCGGATTCTTCACTTTCAGCGTTTGGCCTGTACTGGGATCAACTGATTGCCTCTGTAAAGGCTCTATTTCCAAAGAAGGCGGTATTCTGAAGTACTAGGGGTTTGGACTTCAGCATGTCTTTTCTGTCTACGTGACATTTTGCACTGAGGCGACACACTTTCGCCCTGACGTGGGCCCCCTCCCTCTCCGGCCCCTTCCTCTGACTCCGACAACTGCTGTCTTCCATGGCGCCCACAACTTCACTTCTGCTCCTCTTTGCTCTCCGTTCTCAGAGTTCAGAGCAGGCAGGCTGAGGTCCCACGCTCCTCTCAGGAGGTCAGCATCCCTCTCTGCGCCCAAGGGAGCTGCGCGCTCAGAATCCACGGAGTCTCCCTCTCCAGTGCGATGCTTCATATTCTCAGCCCCTTTCTCCATAGCCAGTGAAGCCCCAAATGTCCTCCAGCCCACATCCCTGGACCTGCCTCCTTCTCACCTCGCAACAACCCGGATCCAGAAATCAGCTAGATTTCCACACACCACACCGCGCCACTTACACATACATCACATCACACACATACCCCCCACCCTACCTACACACACACACATCACACAGACACACACACTGCATCATGCACACACACGTCACGTCGTGCACAAACACACACATGCACACGCGTCACACACATGCACACCCCCCCCCATCACTCAAAGAGCTGAAAGCTTCCCCATTCGGCGTTCCTGTTCCCTGCGGAGGCCCTTCCTTGGACTTACAGGGGGGCGTCCTTTCCTCTTCCTGTCTCTCCTCCTCCTCCCTGCTGGGGCATCACTCCTTCCTCGAATCCCAGGCCTCCCCTCTATTATATGCAGAAGGACCCAGCTGACCCCTTTCCCTCTCCACCCCACTCTTCTGGGCAGCCCGCTCTGTCCACCCCAGCCACTTGGTGAGATAGCACTTCCTGCCCTAGTGCTCCCTCCAAGGGCAGGTCTGGAGAGCGCAATTTTTCCAGTCTGTCTCCTCCACATTGTCCGTTTCCTTTACTCTAAACTTGTTCTTTTCTTTCCTGTCTTTGCTTCAACTCTAAAATTTTCTTCTGTGTTCTTTTTTGTTTATTCTTCCTACTTCTCTCTTTAAAGCCCTTCTTTGATCTTCTCTGCTCTACTATATCCTATGTCAGACATCTATGATTAAAAAAATGATAGACCGTCAAGTCAGATCGCCTGGGTTCAAGTCCTAGTGCATGCTCAGCCCTGTTACATAACTCGTGCCTCAAAAATAGGGATCGTAATAGATGGGCTCCAAAGGGTCATCATGAGAGTCAAAGGACCTGAAGTGATTGGAAGTGAGCCCGCGCATAGGGACGCCCTGTGAGTTTGTGGTTGTGGTTGTTACTACCACTTGAAGGCTTTGGCAATTTAGGGGGCTCCAGTTTCAGCATTTGGGGTCCCCTTGCATTTCACACTTCCCCCTCCTTGTAGCCCAGCCCACCTGTCTTGGGGTCTCCATCCCAGCAGCAATCCGATCTTTCACCCAGCGCCCACACTATCAGCAGGTTGAGCAATGCCTGGGAGGGCTGGGAAGGTCATTGCTGCTGCCTTGATTACATTTTCCTCAGAACTCAACTTGTCTGAACTTTGCATTCCATGTGCGCTCCTCTCCACAGCACACACAGTAATCTGATGAAGGCCTGTTTCATAGGCTGGTGTCTGAGTGCGTGAAGCAAGCCAGCTGTGTTGTGTTTTGTTCATTCTACGAAGAAAGGGGAAAATGGCCATTCATTCGCCATGGCCCATCTCATAACTCTTCAAACACTTGATTTTTTAAAAAAGGGTGCCTTCTTTACCATTGTTCTCCAGAAGACCTGTTTCCTGAAACTTTAAACATTGACTTGCTCCTGGTGCCCCCTGATTCCCTTCCTTCTACGTGTTCATCTCTCTCCAACGGGAGCCCACGCCCACTCTGGGCAGACTGGGAAAGTCCTTCATCCTCCCCCATCTGTTGTTCTTGGGGTGCTCGGTACCCACTTTGGTGCCCACCTGAAAAGGCCCCTCCTAGTTCTGTGTTCTGTTCCCTTGGGGGCTTGCTTCAGGCCAAGCAAAGCCCAGTTCAGTGGAATGTGTCAAGGGGGCCCACCAGCTACACCAGGAAGAGGTCTTCCCTCCTATGTGCCTGGAGCCCATGGAGGGTGGGTGGGGCTGTGGGGTGGGGGCCAGAAGGTCCACCAACCCAGACTATGCCAGGTCTGCAATGCCTTGCTAAATTGGTGAAAGGAAGCCCTTGACAGTTTGGGGGGACAAAATGACATCCCTCCAGTGTGATCCTTGTGCTGTTGTGACTCAAGCACAGGTTGATTTGAAGCATAGAGTCAATTTCACACGTCGAGTCTGTGTTTCTAATGTGTTTGCAGTTATGTAAGTTCAGATGCCCTCCGAGTGGACTCGCTTGAGGAGCAGTTCCGAGAGGACTTTGCTTCCATCAATCACCTCTTGCCGGATGACAAAGTGACCGCATTGCACCACTCGGTGTACGTGAGGTAAGTGGCTGGGCAGTGCTGCTGTCCGCACTGGGGTCAAGCATCTGCTAGGTTTGCAAAGCTGTGTGCAGCTCCACAAGGACTCAAGAGGTGTGAGGGTGTTTTCTCCAAGTGCACGGTGGGGGTTTGGCCACCTTGGTTAGACTGGGTTCACGCACCAGGCTGGGGTGCAAGAACTTAACCCCAAACTGGGCAAATAAGGCCCGACAGAGAAAGGGAGGAAGGATGGTAAAGGAGAAATAGTGATGTGCACGTCATAAATGCGCCTCTCACACAGTGGGCGCTCTGGATATGTTTGGGGGAAGGAAGGAAGGGAAGGAGGGAGGGAGGGAGATGGGGAGAAAAGAAAGGAGGGAGAGAGGGAGGAAGAGAAAAAGAAATTAAGAAAGAAATGTTTCCTTCTTTGTTCACCATTTATATTCCATGCTTCCCTCAACACCTCATGGGGGAGGTAAAATGAGGTGTCCTTAAATGACAGTCAGGTACCTGAGGCTCAGAGGGGTCACCTGCCAGGTGAGTGGAGATACAGTCAAATATTCTGAACCCAAGTTCCATATGCTCTTCTGACACCTTGGACCAAACCCCAAGAGGAGGATATTCTCTGCTCTGGGAGACAGCAGCCTGTCAGCCTGTCCATCACATCATTAACACCCACCTCTGGACCCACAGGCGATCTGTAGGGACAGCACATCTCTTGGGTTCTAAACCTCAGTCTGGTGACACTAGCTTTTGTTTGCATGATTGCATGACAGGACTGGGGCTCTGAAGGCAGGAGAAGTTACAAAGGGATCCGGGGTGGAGTGTAAGCAAGCACGCGCCCCGGATCCCAGCCCTGCAGGGGGAGCGGTGTCCTTTTCGGGGCAATCATATCTCTACTCCAGGGAGGAGTCCTCTCTGAGGTGTGTGTGCCCCAGGCTGTGAGGACTTCATGCCAGGAGAGCTGCCACGCCGTCCAATGTGCACTCCATCACCCCCAGGGGCCAGTGAGGAACATCGGGGTAAAACCGACATGCAAATGACACCAGTATACGTTTATATAATATAGCTCATTGTGCATCTGTTATCGTTAGCTGCACAGGGCTTAGAAACGCTCAACAGCCTCTCACATACACAATACTTCTCTGTAGTCGAGGGTTTTATAATGAATTGGGAGACCTCACTCTCCTGGTATTTTTATATACACTAAAATTGTAATCTGTATTTAAGAGCAGGGGAATAGGGTGTATTTTTCTTTTACTCCAAGATTAAGTAAAAACAAAAGTGTTCATTTCACAAGCCTTGGGTATTTAACATTAAGCCCACTCTTTTCCCTCTTTAGGGAGGGGTGTGCCTCGGGCCACGTGGTCACCTTGAAGTGCACAGGTAAGTCAGAGACGCAGAGATGAGTGGAATGCAGCGCTCACTCACAGACTCCTGTGTCCCTGTCCCCTCCTCAGACTGCTGGGAGTCCCTTCCTCCTCCGTGCCAGGTGGGAACTCTGTGGACCCCACCTGACGGAGGAGGGGAGCAGAGTCAGCCTGGTCTCACCTGTCAGGTGCGGGGAGGCAGCCCAGAGTGACTCCTCAGCAGCAGACAGGACCATGGTCCATGATGTCCTGTCACTCCGTGGTGGCCCCTGTAGCCTGACTCACCAGTCACTTTATCCTCCCCACTCCCCCAGCAGAAAAGTGTGCACAGGCTGCTTAGTGCCCCAGGCCCCCTCCTCCCGGGACAGGCGCCCCTCGTTCCTGGCAGGGCGGAGGGTTCTTGTGCAGGTTGGGGGCTGAAGAGGTCAGGCACATGCCCGCCAGCCCCTGCGTCAGTGAGGAGGGGGCTGTGGAAGGTCCCCATGCTCCTGGCGTGTTGGCATCATCCTGGGGATATGGGCATCACGAGAAGGGGTGCTGCCAGCACCAGGTTCTTTGCTCTGGCAGGCTCTTCCCACTGCACCCCCACAATAGCCCACTCGTCCCACGTCTCCGGGGACCTGCCGCCACCCCTCATGCTGTGCTCCCCCTACAGCGCTCTTTCCCGGGCTGCAAGCTCTGTGAGGGAGGCAGGATGTGAGGGGGGGAGAGGTCTGTGGCTGCGACACCACTTTCCCCAGAAAGGTCTGTGGGACCGACCCCCCAACCCTCGTTCTCCCTTGGCAGCCTGCGGTCTGAGACTGGGTTATAGCTCGCGCATCGTGGGTGGAAACATGTCCTCGCTGGCGCAGTGGCCCTGGCAGGCCAGCCTTCAGTTTCAGGGCTACCACTTGTGCGGGGGCTCCGTCATCACCCCCGTGTGGATTGTCACCGCTGCCCACTGTGTGTATGAGTGAGTCTCCCGACCTCCTGGGTGTGGGTCCTTGTCCTCTGCAGCCCCCTGTCCAGTCTGGGCCACGTGGGGATGGGGCTGAATTGGGTGATCAGCAGCAGGTCCACAGAGCAGGCAAACAGATCAAATTGTCACGAAGTAATGTCCCCACGGAGGAACCCCTCCTCCTCACCGTGGACTTGTCACCATTGGCTGGGTGTGATTGGTGACCCCGAGCTCATTTTAAAGATTTCAGGCCTGCAGCTCTTATAGAAAAGATAGAAAGAGGAGGAAAGAAGCTCTCTTGCAGGAGGAAACCCACCAACATAAAGGCCCTAGATCTCCCTGTAGTTAATTATGGTGGACCATGTTGTGGTCTGGAGATGGTGCAGGGTGTTGGTGGGCATCTAGTCTCCCCAGAGCAGTCTCTCTCAAGGGAGGGTAGCATAGAAGAAAACCACAGAAAATACTTCCAAACACGGAGGTTAATTCTCCCTGTTATTTTTACCTGCCACTATTTTGGTTGCTGTCTGATCGAGAAGAGGCCTTGATGGACCCCTCACAGTCAGCAAAGTTGAGCTCAGTCCTCCAATGTTGAGAAGATGCACTCAGAGGTGCAGGGAGCAAGATCTATCTAGGAAATGCATGGGGTGCGTCTGAGCTTCTGCAGGGCGTGGGAGCCGAGGTCAGATCCAGGCATAAGCAAGCAGGGCAGTGGGAAGTCTCCCGCCATCTCCCTGGCACTGGCTCACGGGACACCTGATGTCCGTGTGTTAAAGCGCTTGGGTTTTTCCTGTTTACCTCTCAGTCTTCTCATTGCAGCCTGTACCTCCCCAAGAAATGGACCATCCAGGTGGGCCTAGTTTCCCTGCTGGACAGCCCAGCCCCCTCCCATCTGGTGGAAAAAATCATCTACCACAGCAAGTACAAGCCAAAGAGGTTGGGCAATGACATCGCCCTCATGAAGCTGGCTGGGCCACTCACCTTCAACGGTACGTCTGGCTTTCTTTGTTGTTCTGTTGTTTTCATTTGTTTCCAGAGAAATTTGTAATTGCTTGTTGAAGCACTTTTATGATGGCTGCTTTACAAGCCTTGTCAGATAATTTCAACACTTGATTCGTTTCAGTGTTGGCATCAACTGATTGTCTTTTCTCGTTCAAGTTGTGATTTTCCTGGTTCTTGGTATGATGAGTAACTTTCAATCATAATCTGGACATTTGGGCTATTATATTAGGAGATGCTGGGTCCTACACGCATCCTCAATTTTAGCAGGCGGTCACCCTGTTCAGGTTGACTGTGCAGGTCTTGATCTACTATTGTGGGCTGTGGTTTTGGATGATAATTTGATTTCAGAGCCTTTGAGGTTCTACTTTGGTCAACTTGGTTTGTCTGATGCCCCTGGGGTTCCCATTGGTGCCACTTTCTCTCTGCTGGTGCCAGCTGGAGATGAAATGAGCTTCCCCAGGCCAGGCTACCTGGTGCCTTTAGGTGGTGGAAGGGCATCTCTGGCCCATGGGGACAAAGAGCTTTGTCCTATCTGGGGATTGTTGTGGTGTGGTCCCCCAGCCAGTGCCACCTGCTTGCCCAGTGTCTCTAGATGGAGGATGAGAGTCTCTATCTTATCTAAGAAAGAGAGCACCTCCCAGGGCAGCCAGCTGGTTGTGGGGAGATCCTTCTTGCAGCCATTTCTTTACCACCTAGAAGATCCCGGGCATCCTCAGCTCCCTGAAGTACTCAGAAACATTCTCTCCCAACCAGCTGCTGAGTTCAGCAGGCTCTGTTTCTCCACGGGAAAAGTCAAGTCCTGGCCTCTGGAGGTTATAAAAACACCACAAAAGCCACACTGGATCAAATGTTCTGCAGATGCAAACAAAGCATTAGGGGCCTCCTCCTAAGTAAATTAAAGCCCCCCCTTCTCCTTTCCAAGGAATACGGCAGCTTGGGGTGTGGGCAGAGTGTAAGAAATGAGGCCCCTTATCGGAGCAGAATCCTGGCGCAAGACTAGCTGCAGGTTTGACCTGGCAGAATCCTCGGCATGTTTATCACGTGGCACACGTACGCTCTAAAACAAATCTTTCTAGGGAAACAAAGAGAAATTGTAATGTAGTGTTCATTTGTTAATTATTATTAATGATACTTGGTTATTCAAAATGAGGTGCCAACACTTGCACTTTGACGAAAATTAAAATGAACCCTCCCCTTATTCCTTCTGTGCCTGTCCACTAGTGTCATACCCAGGGAAGCTTAGCGCGTCTCAGAGTGTATTCACGTGAAAGCCTCACGACAGCCATGACTCTGTCTTTGGTGGAGGACTATGTGACACAGCCCACAGGGACAGGCAAGTTTGTTGCCTCTAGATGTGACAGGAGGCATAGGAATATTCATGGAGTGACGTTCTGTAAGGCAATCTCCCCATGGTCTACACCAGGAGTGGGCGAACTATGGCCCACGGGCCAAATCTGACCTTTTCTTGTTTTTGTAAGTAAAGTTTTATTGGAACACTGCCAAACCCATTTCTTTACTCTTGGCCATGGCTGGTTTCACACTACTGTGGCAGAGTTGAGGGGTTGTGACAGAGACCACTTGGCCTGCAAAACCTAAGAGATTTACTATTCAGCCCTTTACAGAAAGAGTTTGCTGGCCCGTGGTCTAGACTCGCTCGTGTTGCCACAGTCTAGGGTTTTCTTAAGGCTTTAGTGCTCTGGTTGGTGTTAGGGGGTGGGGTCCCTGCTCTGAGCTTTCAAACAACCAAGGACTTGACCTTTCTTTGGGAGATCTTTGCGCTCCCCAGAGAGGTAAGCCCTGATGAGATTGTTTCCTCGGACTACTGCTTCAATTGAGTTGAGAGTGGTTGTTTCCCCTTTAAACAGAGATGATCCAGCCAGTTTGTCTGCCCAACTCCGAAGAGAACTTTCCTGATGGAAAAATGTGCTGGACGTCAGGATGGGGGGCCACAGAGGACGGAGGTCAGTGGTCTGAAATCAAGATTCTGAGTCCAGGGAGCCCAGGACTGAGATGGCTGGGGTACATGCCCACAATGACATGCTCCCTTCCAGTGCCCCAATGTACTGTTCCTGTGGGATGCCCATACGTCCCGGTCAGGGAGTGTGAGTCCACTGCGGGAAACACGCAGTTGGCCGAGTAGCTGTGGGTCATGAGTCATGGTCCCCCTTATCTTGTGACAACATGAAATTGTACTTTCTCAAGAGAGAAATAAAACACAAAGGACAACCGTGGACACTCCTTAGTGGAGACACCTTTGCCAACACAGCAGGTGGTTCTCCCTCTTCCTCCTCCCCACCGTGTTAACTAAGTACATAAGGAGCCCGGATGGAGAACTCCTCCCAAGGTTTATTCAGAAGACAGAGATTTGTAATCGGTGAGGAAATTTGTCTTGTGTGACTTCAGAAGATGTGTTATTTCATCTGACAAAGGTCAAGTAGAAAAAGCAAACAAGACCTTATTGCTGTAGTCATAATAGAAGAAGTAATGTCAATGAGAACAACCCGTGTGGAGGAAACCTTGGCCGTCCTTTTGTCAGTAGGGGCCACAAATGCGCTCACAATTCTTGGATTTCCCATCCGTTGCTTTCCTCGTTGGTAGGAAGAGTAGTAGTTTCCTGGGGCTGTCGTAACAAAGAAACAGGGTGGCTTAAAACAACAGAGATCTATTTTCTCACAGTTCAGGAGGCCAGAGGTCTGAAATCAAGATGTGGGCAGGGTTGGTTCCTTCTGGAGCTCTGAGGGAGAATCTGTTGCAGGCTTCTCCTGGCTTCTCGCAGCTCCCGCTCTCCTGGGCTTGTAGACACATCACCCGAATCTCTGCTTCTGTCTTCACACGGTCTCCTCCCTGTATCTCTGTCCCCAGCCTCCCTCTCCTTTCTCTTATAAGGACACTAGTCTTTGGATTTAAAGCCCACCCTAAATCCAGAAGGATCTCATCTTGAGATTCCTACCTTAATTACGTTTGCAAAGTCTCTGTTCCAAATAAGGTCACATTCTAAGGTTGTAGGTGGACATATTTGCGGGGCGGGCGGGGGTGCACAGTTCAACCCAATACAGAAAGTTCAGTATTTTCCTCTTAAGACTTATTAGCTGAGCACACTGCCTCTTGAATGTCCAAGGTACATGGGGGCTTACCCAGAACCAGAGGGTCTATGTGGACTTGCTTGGCCACACTCCCACCAGCACCTGCACTGGTGTCCACCTTGGCTCAGGGGACTTACAGCTATTTGTAATTTCATGCTCACCCACTTGCCCAAACCCTGCTCTGTGCCGACATGGCTGGTCGAGGGGCTTCCGGTTTTGTCAGAACCAGTGGCCCCGCGACCTCTGCTTTGTGGTGGGGAGCAGGGACACCCCTCTACCCTCCCCTTCCTTTCACGGTGAGTTCTCATTTGGACCACCAGACCACCAGAGTGGTTCTTATTGTGTGGGACTCCGAAGACGAGGCGCTGGATCACTAGGCAGATTCGCCACACGCCAGGCTCTAAGCTGAATGTCTCAAGGAGGTACCTCCTGCTTCTCATGGAAACCCTGAGGGGGTGTTATTTTCGTGCTCATCTTGAGGGCAAAGGAGACTGGGGCTGAGGGGCTCTGAGCATCTTGCTCAGGCTCACACAGCCGCGTGGTGGAAGATCTGGGATTCTACATTCATGCTCCTCCGCCCATGTGCCTATTCGTGTTGTTATTCATGAACTTGAAGTGCCTGAGGATGATTATTCCATCGTCTTCTTCGAATCCTTATGGGATGATAGGGACAGGCACCACTCTCAGCGCAACCTCATGGCCAGGTGGTGCCCACTGCAAGGACAGTGGGTGTGTGGGTGGACTGGGGAAGCCCATGCAGAAACCATGGTGTAACCCACACTCAGAGAACACTTACAGTGTGGGTTTCGAGGCACTCAGACCCACATGCCACCAGCTGACACACGCTGAAGGAATGGGAATAAGGGTGTGCCCTGCTGTAAGCCTATAGAACATAAAGATAACTGGGTTTATGAGTAGGTTGAGTTAGAGGGTGTTGATCCCTTCAGGTCAGTGGTGAGGCTGATCCACCACAGGTGTGCTGCTTTCCTGTTGCTGCTGCAACAAATGACCCCAAGCTTAGTGGCTTATAACAACACAAATGGATCGTCATGTTACAGTTATGGAGATCAGAAGTCCTAAATCAGTCCCGGTGGGCTGGAATCAATATGTCAGAAGGGATGCATTCCTTCTGGAGGCTCTGAGGGAGCATCCATTTCTTGCCTTTTCCAGTTTCTAGAGTTGGCCCACTCCCCTTGACTCGTGGCCCTTCCTCCACCTTCACAGCCAGCAGCGCAGCATCCTCAATCTTTCCCCTCGAACCTCTGCTCCCTTCATCGCATCTCCTTCTCGGACCCTTTTAAAAACCCTTGTGATTTCATTTAGGGTCTACCCAGATAGCCCAGGATCGTGTCCCCATCTCAAGGTCTAATCACATCTGAAAAGTCCCTTCTGCCACGTGAGGATTGGGACATGGACTTCTTTGGGAGGACATTTTTCTGTCAACCACCCCAGGGTTCCACCAAGAAGCTGTGTGTGTGAGACATTGTTGGGCCTCCATTTCCCTTCTGTAACCTGTTGTTCTGGGAACTGATTAGGCTGGTGAGGGTCATGTGCTTGGCCCAGGACGGGCCCTGGGGAGGTCCATGTTGGCCACTGTTGCCCTTATGGCCTCTTGCATTGGTCCCTTTAGGGAGGTGAGCGGCCCTGACATGAACCATCTGTAGGGAGCAGACCCTGAGGGCTCACCGGTGCTTGCAACAGACCACGCGCCGTGCATCTGCAGGCGTGGCCTTTGCCACCATCACAGCATCTGGTGGCGTGCCCCCTGCTCCCCACCCCCGCCCTGGATGCGTGCCCTCTGAAATCCGAGTGGGGCCCCCCTCACTGCACGTACCCCCATCTCTGACACAGGCGACGCCTCCCCGGTCCTCAACCACGCAGCTGTGCCTTTAATCTCCAACAAGCTCTGCAACCACAGGGATGTGTATGGGGGCATCATCTCCCCCTCCATGCTCTGTGCCGGCTACCTGAGAGGCGGTGTGGACAGCTGCCAGGTAGGGGCCCTCGGCGACCTCTGGGAGTCATGCAGCGGGTGAGGCGAGGCTCTGGTGCCGTGACCCAGCCCGTGGGACAGGCCCCCGCCAGCATTTCTCTGTGACTGACTGAAAAGCAAATTTACAGGGCGTGGGGAAGAAGTTTGCTCAAGATATCACTCCTTTTCCTGGCCCGGGCCTGTGTTTACCCAACGCTCCCACTCTGCCTGGGGGCTGGGTGGCCAGAGCAGTCTGGAGGATGCTTCCCTCTCCAGCCGGCTCGCAAAGTTTGCAGGGGGACAGAAGGGGTGGAAGGCAGTGGGACGGTGAATCTGGGCCTCCAAGGCCAGAGTGGGTGAGGCTCCAGCACTGCCGGGGTCCAGCTGAAGCCCCCTGGCCAGGCAGACCCTCCTTCTGACAGCGCTCCCTCAGCTGCACACAGCTGCCCTGACCATCTTGGGTTCAGTGTATCTAGAATCTGGCAGGGAGACAGCTGGGGGACACCGTCCCCGAGGGATAAAGGATCCCACTATTGGGAATTCAAGTCAGTTCTAGAAGGGCTGGTGTGAACGCAGAGCCATCCCCGAGAAGTATTTTGTGATATGGTGGAAAGGGGAATCCTGCCACTATGACGAGGAACACCCCTTGACAGTGCCTGTTCTGTCACTGTTAGTCTCTTTCCTTGCCATCTAGGGAGACAGCGGGGGACCCCTGGTGTGTCAAGAGAGGAGGGTATGGAAGTTGGTGGGAGCAACCAGCTTTGGCATCGGCTGTGCCGATGTGAACAAGCCTGGGGTCTACACCCGCATCACCTCCTTCCTGGACTGGATTCACGAGCAGATGGAGGTGGGTGCAGCTTCCTCCCCTGCTCACGCTGCTCCTCCTCATTCCACCACTAGCATCCGTTACGTGGGACCTCAGTCCTGCTGTACAGAGCCAGGGAGTGACCAGTGAGTTGTCTATTTGGCAAACAGCGACTTTGCGGCTCCTGGGTGTCTGACGAGAGCACAGCTAATCCCATGGGCAAGGCTCTGTGTGGGTGGGGCCCTGGTGGGGTGGGCACACAAGAGGGAGACCCTGGCTGGGACAACATGCCAAATGGGGAAAGGAAGAGGGGCAGCTGAAGGAGAGCCCTTGAGGATGGGGATGAGGCGAGTGGGCAAGGGTGTGCACAGAGGAGAGAGTGGACGAGGTGGAGAGAGGTGGAGGAAGGCTGAATATGGAGGACTCCCCAACGCCCACTGACGAGTGTGGACCTTGCTGGGAGCCAGGGATGGGATGAAGAGTCTCCAATCAGGAGGGGGCCTGGGCAGCTCTGTTCTTTGGGGGCCCTCCCTGGAGGGGGGACGTGGAGGAGGGAGACAGGTCAGTGAGGATGGCTTGGCAGGACCAGGACGGCAGGGGGCGCCCTGGAGACGGCGGGGAGGAGGAATGGGATATCCAGGGAAAGGGAGTGCCACGGCCGATTCCAGGTCCCAGCGCAGTGGTCTGATGGTCCAAAGGACGCGTGGTGACACCCACCCGGGGAGCAGGGGGAAAGGCTGCAGGGAGGTGAGGCCGCCATGCAGGAGCCTCGACAGCATGACTCCTTCCACCTTGTGGGCCCTCGGCAAATATTTGCTGACTTGATCTCTGACTCTGAGCCCCACATCATGCCTTGGACCAGTTTCAAGGACTTTTTTTTTAATTGAGGCAAATTTACGTAACATAAAATTAACCATTTTAAAGTGAACAACCCAGTGGCATTTAGCACATTCACAATGTTGCACAGCCACCACCTCCATCTAGTTCCAAACATTTCCGTGGCCCTGAAATGAAACCTTGTAGAGTTAGACGGGCACCCCGCCCCCCCAGCCTCTGGCCACCAGTAATCTGTTTTCTGTCCTTGTGCATCAAAGACCTTTATAAAGGCTCCTTTTATCTGAAACAGCTGGCTAAGAAGGACGTCAAACTCCTAATGTGGCACGGGCATTCATTTCCACTTCTTCCTCCTTGAATTTTTGCTTTAAATGAGAAGCTACGTAGTGGCTCCCATTGTGCAAGGCTGAGGCCCGGGGCTGGGCCTTAGCCTGGTTTGAATTCCAGCCCTGCTGCTGTGTAGTTGAGTGTCCTCTGCAGGTATGAATAGCTCCTACCCTCAGTGTCCTGCTCATTGCAAGGTAGCCAGTGCCAGGAGACAGGCCATCAGGAAGCACCGGTTAATAGCCGGCAGACTGGCCCAGTGCTCAGACTGAGGGGCGTGTAACGCTCTTCAGACAAAATTCAACCAAAATTGTCAACCTCTCAGAGAACAGACTCGGAAAGAGCAGCCTCCTTGCTGCAGTGGCCGAGGACGGCCTGTGAGCGGAAGCCTAGGGTGCGGATGGCCACACTGATGGCCGTGTGGGCTTGGCCATGTGGGAGATGGAGGGTGGGATAGGAGGAGCAGGCCCTCCACATTCGCCATGAAGCCACAGAGGTGCACCTTCCAAGTGGCTGCACGCAGGGGCAGAGGGTCTGTGTGACCAGGCTGGTAATCGTGAAAGTGGAGCTTGCAAGTCGAGCAAGTTGAAGAAGCAAACTCCCAGTCTTCACGCTGTCGAGAAGTGCTAGGGGCTGGGCGGGGGGCAAGGTTCCATAATCACTCCTGGAACCTTCTAACCATGATGTTGCGTGATGTCTTAGCCCATTTCCCCTCAGCACCGTCCTGGGTAATGATGCTAGGGCAGTCCCCGTATTACAGGTGAGGGGACATGCTTAAGGCCCCCCAGGCTAATAAGAGCAGAGCGTGAGTCTCACCACATCCGTGACTCCAGCCCCAGCACACGCAGCAGCAGAATTGACAGCTCTCCACCCTGGGGCGCATAGCACTCTCCCTGGCTGTATGTTAACACTGAAGATCCCCAGGACCCTTCTCCAGGGGGTCTGATCAGGGAGCGTGGGATGAGGGCCCTGGCGATTTTGTACATGGGGTCTTGAGGGCACTTTGAGAAACACTGGTGTGGACCATGTGGCTCCCTGGGAGGGTTTCAGGAAGGGCTTCCACTCTTCCCCCGAGGCTGGAGGAGCAGTGTTGTCTGTGATGGCTGGCTGGCTCCCTAGATGCCTGGGAGAGCATCTTAGTCATCAGCTGCCTTGGGCCCACTGAGGGCCTGTGTGAGACCCGCCCTTTTGCGAGTCTCTCTTCAAATGTCCTGGAAGATGACCCAGAAGAGACTTCCCTTCCCAGGAGAGGTTTTCAGGCAGGTCTGCATTTTTAGTTGTTTTTTTGAACATCGATGTGAGGGCCTTCCAAGAGCTCACACATCATGAGGAGAATTGCCCGTTCAGCTGACAGGACTGCCTGTCACATCATCTTCATTCTCATCCAGTGGTTTTCTCTATCTAGTTGGGGCCTTCAACAAAATTTTCTGACTCAAACCAGTACTTAGCAACACTGACACTAAGAGCTGGAAAGTTCACGTGGAAACTATGGAAAAAATCCCAGGTCTGCAATAAAAAACGCAGGGGCGTGGCTGGTTGGGAGGTGCATACGGGTAGGAAAGCTATTTCACGTTTATCTGAGATCCGCATGGAGCTGGCAGCCTCGTCCGGTGGAGGCGAACCTTGTCCTCATGAATTGTGAACAGCCAATGCTTCACTCGGGCTGCAGCGCCGATGCCCAACTCAAGTTTAATGTTGGAGACATGGCTTGAAGTGCTAAAAAAGATAACACCTATGTTTTCATTTCTAGAGGGACCTGAAAACTTGAAGAGAAAGGGGAGACACCACCATCTCGAGTTCCTGCCACAGTGGAGACATTCCCGTCCGTCCATGGATTCCTCTGTGGACACTTCCAACAGCAGAGCCAGAGAAGGAGCATCTTTCTGTTCCTCTGCATCTAGAACAATTTCTTGTAATGCCTCTAACAAGGCACAGGGGCATGGACTAAAATGACCTTGAAGCTCCTTTCTGACCTTCACAAAGCACAGAAGCAGGAACCCCTCCAAAGTGCTACCTTTTCCCACTTGCCCATCTGGTTTTCTGTACAGGGGTCATTCCACATTCCTGAGAAGATGGGCACATCTCACGTACAAAGCGATTGACAGCCACTGCCTGGACCTGTGGGAGCACAGTCATTGCAGATGGAGCTGTCTGCACGCTTTTCTCCCTAGGCACCAGAACCAGACCAGAATTTTCTACTCTAAGATCTCTTTTCGCATGTGGGAACTTAATCTATGAGTGGTTAGCTTTAAGGTTTATTTCTATTATTTCTTTGTAGCATTTGGTGCTTTATGTATTATTGTCCCTTGCTTCTGAAGGGTGTATGCTCTCCTAACGCAATCATCAGTCAGAGCTTGTCTGAATGAACACTGACTGCTCGTGTAAATCGAAATCATAAGCTTGATTCGAGAGGCTGGATTACTTTGATCTCTTCTGTATACATTGTGGGTTTTGCATTTTTCTGTTAGAACAGGCTTCTCAGCATATCAGCTTTATCTTGTATTATATCACAAGACTCAGAGCAGAGTAAGAAAAGAAAGCACTGAGACCACACAGGACTACCTAACCGCATGCAGCGGGTACCGAAGGCAAATAGAGTTGATGGTCCCGTGTCATCAAGACCAAAGGCTTCCCTCCTGCTTCACATGGGCCCTTTAATCTTCCACACACCTGCAGGATTAGAGACCCACCGGTTACCCAAACACCTTCTGTAGTATAGTCCCCATAGCACACGCATAACAGAGGAAGGCTACTTGGTAAGTATCATTGTCCAGCGGCACTTTATTACAAATGAGTTCACCAGAATACGAATCCATCGCTTTGCTTTGAGGCAACAGTGGGAAGATAGGTGAGTTTCAGAGAGATCCAAGGTGGGTCCAGGTGCCCCCGGAAGGGAGCGGCTCTGGGGAGCCTCCCAGGATGTGGCTGAGATGGGGATGGAGGAAGAGAGGGAGAGAACACTAAAGGCAAATGGCCATTTAGTAATCATCTTTGGGTGTAATTGTAGCTGTATTACATAGTAATCGTATTTGGTCCTACACAGATCTCTGTATATGTCGGAAAGTGGCAAGACCATTTCTATTTTAAGTATTTTCCCAGCTCTCTCTGAAAGTAGTGGTAGCTCACGTACTGAAGATCCAAGCTGTGAAAAGATAGACGATTTCATATGTGATCACCTCAGCTGGGAAAACTGGACCGTGGGGTCAGCAGACGTGTATTTCTAGCCTGTTATGGTTTCATTCTTCTTTGATTACTACTGAGTTTTGTTGGAAAATATTTGTCTTCTCACAGCCTTTCAAAAGGTCTTGGTAATGCTATTAGTGGGCAATTAACCAGCGTGTACCATGTGCCTGGCTCCATTCTACGAATGTTTCATGTGTTTCCTTGTTTTCTCATCACAACAACACTGTGAGAAAGGGATTATCACAGTCCCATTTCATAGACTAGGTAATGGAGGCATGAAAGTGAAGAGACTCATCGGGCCAGTGGGGCATCCAGGATTTGCGCCAGGCGTCAGATCAGCAGGAATTAAAGCAAATAACCAATCGCAAAGCTACACTCTTTGCATTTGAGTCTAAAGGCACGTTTGCACCACCAGCTTGAACCCATTTGAGACATAGTAGTCATTCAAAGTCGTGATCACCTTCTCCCTCCTCTGAAAGTGTCTGGACCCAATGGAGACGTTTGCTGGCTCGAGCTGCAGGCTCATGGGTGGAGCTGTCTCTATCTTGTTTCTTTTTTCCGTGGATACAGCTTAGCACCTACCTCACGCCTGACAGCCAGGCCAGAGTGGGAGCCAGGAGAGAAAGCCGTGGCTGGAGCACTCCTAACCTGCAACCAGAAGAACAGCTGGAAGAACGTGCTGCCAGAAGAGGTGAGGTGGGCTGCCTCCCCTGGTGGCTTGGACCTGAAGAACTGTGGGGCATCCATGTACTGAGTTAGTGAATGAGGGGAGCCCCACCCGCACCCAGACGTCCAGGACCATACCATGGGAAGCAGCCCCTTTCTCTCTCTCTCTAGTACTTTATGGCTGTATTTAAACATTTTAAAAAAAATTATAGAAGACCTAACAATATTATAGAAAGTTTGGAAAAAAGAGTGTCACAAATTGGTCAACAGCTTAAATACTACAGTTGCCCCCGGAAACTGTGAACACTTGCCTCCGTCTTCTGAGAGGAGGGTGTCTGACTGGGATCCAAGGACACCTGCTCATATCCCTTTCCTCGCTTCTCACACCGAGACACTGCCTGGAGTGGGGCAGGAGCATGCACGGAAGGTCTGGGTGTGCAGACCTGTCACCCTGTCACAGAGACCAGTGCAGGAGCCACCGGGGGTTGAAGACGTTCCAGCTGTGGGCGCGGTTGTACTGGTCTCAATGTCCTAAGGCATTGAGCTCAAGAATTGCCGATATAGCAACACTGGGTTTGGGAGGTGTAAGAACGACGCTGTATTCAAACGGGCGGATGCAACTTCCCGGTGACTCGGCCTCCAGCAACTGGGAGGCAAAGGGACCTGACCAGTGACGTAGAAATAGAGTAGTGACCAAGAAGAATAAAGTTTTTGTGGCATAATCTTAAACAACATCGGCTTCAAATCAATGAATTTAGACAAATTTACTCATTGGGCCACGTTTTCCTCCACAGTGTGAAAAAGAGCCTCCCTAAGCTGGCTGCTATCTTGGTGACTGAGGACACAGTGTTCTCTGTGTCTGCACGGCTGGGCTGGCGGGCTGAGCATGATGAACCATGACCTGTGTGTCCATTCATGAGTGACTCCTGGAAACGTGTTGTATTCCAGGTCACTCGTCTCTCCTGGGTTGCCTAAATGGTCTGAATTTTCCCCCCAATTCATGGACCCGTGGAGAGAAGTCATTCTTCAGGCTCCCAGAATACTTGTGTGTGTATGTGTACGTGTGTGTGTGCACGCTAGTTTTTGTGTGTGATTACACATACATAGTGACGCTAAGATGGCAATGAAATCATTTGTTTCTGAGCCTGTCTTCCTTTCTAAGCTGAGAGCTCCCCGAGAATGGGGTCACACTCCATTCACCTGTGCATACCCAGCACCCAACCTGGGATCCGGGACCCAGAGCTGCTCATGAACACAGGTGGAATGAACGAATGATGACGATAACATAAACGTGTCACCTAAATGGACTTCATCTGAATCCCATTGCTTCATAAACCAGCACATATTTGGTTTGGAAATAGGTGAAAATCAACCTAAAGATAACGTTTATAATTTAAAGCGATGATGTACAAAAAAAAGTCTCCACATTTCTTTTCTTAAAATTACAAAAACAACTACTCAGTATTGCATCCTGTTCCATCACCATGTCTACACTGGACTCTGGTCTGCCTTAGCAGCATCAAAATCAGTAAAAAAAAAAAAAATGACTCAAAGTCTAGTTCACAGAAAAATGGTGAAAGTGATATCACCAAAGGTGAGAAATTTCCAAAGGGAGGATTTTTTTGAGAATGAAAAGAAAACAGTAGAGATGGTCTTTAAAATCATCCACTAAGAACTGATGTCATATTTTCAGTGTTAGGGAGAAGGACTTTTAAGACGCATTTCCTCTAACAGGGTCTTTTCTGACTTTTTCTCTCTTTCTTTCCTTTTCATCTTAGGTGCAAACTCGTAGCTTCCACGCTCCCTCCGCCCTTGTGAAGTGTGCACCTGCACCCTTCCCTCTTCTCTCTCATCAGCCCCGGGGGTGGCCCGGCAGAGGTGGGTCGCCTCCAGCAGGGACATTGTGCAGGAGGCTGGTACATTATAATTTGTATAATATGAATGATTCCCAACACAGTATTAAAACTTTGTGCTCATTTCCTGGAGGCACCGGAGGGCCACTGGGTTATCACACCCACCCTCAGACAGCCTTCTTCAAAGGAAACCTAGAAACTTCCTGGGCCTGGCCGCCAGGTGGAGCTCTGGGGAAGGCAGCCACTCTCATCCACCCCTCCCGGTCACTGGGAAATTCCAGATCGTTTCCCAGACCTGGGGTCATCTGCCTCCTGGGCCTGTAACCTTGGTGCCGCACCTCACCGTCCTCCTGGCTTGTTAGGGCCCTCCATGGGAAGAACAAGTGGGAACTTTGGAGGGCTGTGGGCTGCCAGATGAGAGCCAGTGCTGCTTCCTGCAGCCGTAGCTGGAGGTGTCCAGTGTGAATCAGAGCAGCCACAGGAAATAGGTGAGACTGCGGACGGGCACAGGTCCCCAGGAGGATTCTAGAGTCTGCACTCCATATCATCCCAGGCCTTTTCATCACCAGGCCTCCGGCCCTGAATTGTGAGAAGGCTTCTGCAGCCCCAGGGCTTCCCCAAGACTCAGGCAAGAGCTCCTCAGTGGGCCCTTTGTAAGGGGAGGTTGGGGGGCTGTTACCTTCCCAGTACAGTCAGGCCCTGGAGGAGGGGCGGCAGGGCTGAGGATTCAGTTTAACCACATCCGGGGCACATTCCCACGCCCCTAGGAGGAGCCATCGCAGACCACACAGAGGGTTGTGGAGAAAAATAACCATAAGAATGGTTCTTTAATGTTATGTTTGGTTTACGTTCTTGTAGTCACAAGAACTGTGATTTCAGAAACATTCTTATTGGACTAATATTTTTTCGAATTGAAATTTTTATTGAGATAATTGTAGAGTCACATGCAGTCATAAGGAACAATACGTAGAGAGGTCCCTTGTAAACTATGCCCGGTTTTACCTAATGATAATGTTTTGCAAAACTATAGTCCAATGTCACAAGCAGGATACAGACAATGGTAAGGTCCACTGATCTCACTGAGATGTCTCCAGTTCTACCTGTACTCGTGCGTGTGTTCTTGGGTTTGTTTTTTTTCTTTTTTTTGTGGGGAAGATCAGCCCTGAGCTAACATCCATGCCAATCCTCCTGTTTTTGCTGAGGAAGACCGGCCCTGAGCTAACATCTATTGCCAATCCTCCTCCTTTTTTTTTTTTTTCCCTCTTCTCCCCAAAGCCCCGGTAGATAGTTGTACGTCATAGTTGCACATCCTTCTAGTTGCTGTACG